TTACAATCTTAAACACCTAAATCAAATCCCCCCCTAACTCTTCTTTTTCAAGAGAAAACAATTTGAGAGACTTCAACCTCTGCTCATATGGCAATTCATGCATCTCAGGCACCATTCTAGTAACTCTTCTCTGAATCCTTTCCAACAATTCAATGTCTTTTCTAAGGTAGGGAGCCCAAGACTGAACACAATATTCCAAATGTGGCTCAACCTATGACCTCTGCAATGAAAGTATAACCTCTTTAGACTGTATTCAATATTTCAGTAGATACAACCTAAAATCCTATTTGATCTACCACTACCGACAGCACACTGCTTGGATGACATAAAAGACTGTTTCTTTCATAACACTGTTAAGGTTATTCCCATCCAAATTATACTTATAATTCCAATTATGATAACCCACATACATTACTTGCATTTATTATAATTAAAATCCATCTAACATTTATTTGTCCGACTCATTAAATTATCTAAATATGTTTTTAAAGCAGCAGTATCCTCTTCACAGCTAGCAACACCCAAGACCTTAATATCAACAGCAAATTTTAAATAATTTATCGACCATTCTTTCATGTATATCATTGATGTAAATCAAAAAGAGCAAATGTCCTAAGACTGAGTCCTGAGATACCCCACTTGTGACATTAATCCAGTTTGATTGAACCCTTTTTACAACAGTCCTCTAATTTCTTCCACCCAGCCACTCTAATATCCTATTAGCTAACTTATCTCCCACATCTATAGAGATACTTTTTTTAGAAGCCTTTTATGTGGCACCTTGTCAAATGTTTCAGAAAAATCCAAATACATCAAATTTACACCCTCATTTACATAAGCAGTAATCTTTTGAAAGAATGTCAAAAGATTTGTAAAAGCAAGATTTTCCCTTAATGAAAACATGTTAATTATCCAATAAAATTCTAAATTTTGTTAAATGACTTTGCAAATCATCTTTTATCAGATTTTCCAGAACTTTTCCCACAGCTGATGCAAGATTATTAGGCCTATAATTACTGGGACAATTTTATTTACCTCCCTTGAAAAGAGGAGTAACATTAGCCAACTTCCAATCCTCTGGCACCTGCCCACTATTCAAGGACTTACTATAAATAGTAGCAAGTGGCTCACATATCCAATCCTTAACCTCTTTCAAAACCCTTGGGGAAATATTATCTGGCCCAGGAGCCTTATGGTTCTTTCAATTTCCCAATTTTTTCTTAATAAGCTCAGAATTAACTCTCTCAAAATAGGCTTGGTCAATTTGACCAACCATGTGACCTCTCTGTACTCATTTAAAGTCTTTATAGGTTTAATACTTCTAACTTTCAATATCGTGTGTATGATAAATAAAGATTTAACCATGAACATATTGAGTATTTGTTTTGAATAGTCTGTGTGTTCAAAGTAATTTTCATGTTAAGATTAAAAATACTTTTCTTCATCTCAAAAATCTCAAGTTTCCTTTGTGTAATCCCTAAAACCTCCTAAATAACTTTCAATCGTTTGTTTTCAGTAAAACTTTATATTTTAATGTTATTTTCTCTATCCTATCTCTATATGGGATTGGTCAATTTGATCAACCTCATAACCTCCAAAAAAAATCTAACTTACCATTTTTTCTTTCTCGAATGACTTGAAATTAAAACATGAAACTACATTCATTTATCCCAAGTAGCTTTAAGCTCATAACAGTATACATCTATCTATAATTAAATGTTATTGTTTTATTGCCCTTTGAACCGTGTCTAACTACTATCCACACCATTATAAGTTGTAAATCACTCGGGGAATGTGCAGCTCATGTTATGCTATCGAATTACATTACCCATGAGCTGGCATGCGTGCCTCGTGAAACATTTTTATTATATTAATATTATTTATTTTACCTAATTTGATGTTAACTAATCTAAAAAGATCCATATTTTTACATTTTAGTTACTTTTATTATAATAAATAAAGAATAAACATGAAAAACAAGAAATGAAGTATTTACCCAATCTTTTTTCTTGCTGTTGATTGTCAAGGACACTTAACCCTACTTGTTTTTTTATACTAATGGAAGTAATGTGCTAAATATTTTTAATTTAATTAAATAATATATCAGAGAACATAGACTAATAACATGTAAAATGTATACAATTTCCCTTAACTCTCAAAACTTTTTCTGGCTTTCTAACTATGCAACAAGAGCCGTTACAAATTCATCCAAGTTAGTCGTTAACTTTCCCATGGGAATGAAGCTTGTACTCTTAGTGAAATTGACACTTATATGTTCAGAACACAATGTTATACAATACGTCATATGATACATGAAAACTTTGAATTTCTATTGGTTATAGGTAATGTATAATTAAACAGAAGAGATAACTATTAACAAATCCTGAAAGAGAAGATGTGACAGGAGGGGTCTGATTTTCTATTTGATAGCTCTGTAACCAAACAAAATTAAAGATTATAAAAATTATGGTTTGTCTGAGCAATGACGATCTTATATTGAGTAATTAAGTTTACTTTCGTACATTTGGAGGGGCAGTGGAGATGAGAAGATGCCTAGAGAAAATGTGTCACAGTGTTGGAAATTCAGGAATTTTTTAAATATTGCCTTATAGAATTAAGAACTTAAAATTTATATATCATTAAAATATGGATTATTAGCTAAGATTTTATGCTATACTAATTCGTATAACAAAAAGTAGTTTAATAAAATTTTGAATGTAAGGCACTAAAATTTTGTGTCATGCGCAGTAAAGGATACCCATGGCAATAGGTTTAATGCTATCATCTTGTTCTTTCCATCTATCAACTGTTTCAAGATGAAAAAATATATTGCTTAAATATTCATTAGTAAAAACTGAATAAAAAGCAGAGTTTAATAACCCAGTCATTTCATAATCATGAGATACAAGCCTTCCTTTATCATCCCTCAAGGGTCCTACCCCATTCTAACATTCTGTTTACCCTTAATGTATTTAAAGAAATCCTTACTGTTTATTTTTACACTTTCAGTCAACCTTTTTTTCATACATCCTTTTTGATGTCCTAATTTCCTGTTTGACCAAATTCCATGATTTTCTATAATCTTCTACATCTCCAATC